AAGGCAGACGCTTAACGACTGAGCCACCCAGGCGCCCCCTCTCTGCATAAAGTCTTAAGTGTTCAGTACAGTGCTGTGGACTGTAGGTGGCCCAGATGCTCACCAGGGCCCATACTGGTGCCAGGCCCTGTGCTTGAGGCAGGGGTCAGAGGTCAGCCAGGAGGATCCTTCCAGACCTTCGACCTGATCCTCTCACCCTGGGCTAGGACTCTCCAGAGCGTCCCATTGTCCCGGTAGTAAAGTCATCTTCCCACATGTCCTTATAGGCTCCGTATAATGTGCATCCATCTCCTGCATCTCTTCCCCTGGCTCCCTCCCATGGGTCCCTTCCAGGCTCCTTCCCGTCGTGGGCCTTTGCCCTGATGTTCCTTTCTCCCAGCACACTCTTCCTCCAAAGACTTCTGTGCTTGGCCTTTGTTTTTCTTCCAGGTCTCAGCTTGAAAGCTGGGAATAGGACTCTGGCCTTTGGGCTTCCAAGCCCGCCTCCTGCTGCCTGCCCCACGGTCCTGCCTTTATTGGCCTCACCCCCACAGCAAAGATCTTGGCACAAGTGGAAACCGAGGCCCAGGGAAGGGCCCTGTCCACCTCCACCGCCCGTGCTCCCTTTCTGCCCTGTGTGTTTAGAAGCGCCTCCTCCCCATCTTTGGCCTTTTTGATTTGTGTGTCATGAGCAAGAAAGTTAAAATTCATTTCTGAAGTATTAAAAGGACGATGAGCCTGGGAGTGACCTGGCTCAGATGTGTTGAGGGGATGCTGGTTTTTTTTTTTTAATCTAAGTGAGGTATAATTTACTTATGTACGATGTACACATTGTAAGTATACAGTTTGATTAATTTAAAAAAATTGTTACACCCGTGAAACCACCACCTAGCTGGAGCTCTTGAACCTTTCCCTCTTTCTGAGGGGACTCTGGCTGGGCTGGGAGGTGAGCCTATGGGGGGCAGGGATGGAGCCACAGGGAGCCTTGCGAGGCCCGCCACCGAGTGGGGATTCTGAGCGCCATCAACAACCCTGTTGCACCTAGACCTCTGAATTTCTTGGTGATTCGGAGTCAGTGGTGGTTGGGAAGATGAGGGATTCTAGTCATTCAAACACATGGAAGTAAAGGGCACATTTGTGCCCTTCGCTGGGCGTCCAGCCCCCAACTCAGGAGAACATTCCATCCCAGAAGATGCTCACTCCCCCCCTCCTCCCCAGCAGCCCTGGCCCGCCGGGAGGAGGAGAGCCTGGCTGTCCCCACCAAGCGGCGCCGGGTCACAGCCGAGATGGAGGGGAAGTACATTATCAACATGCCCAAAGGCACCACCCCCCGGACCCGCAAGATTCTGGAGCAGCAACAGGCGGCCAAAGGTATCGGCCCGGCAGGGGCGCCCTTGGGCGTAGAGGCTGCATTTCCCTTTGGTTGCATGGTGCGGGATTGGTCACGCCTGCAGGCACTGGCCGAGAAGCAGGCTCTACCGAGATCCAGGGGGCCTTGGACCAAGGGGACAGCGATGGTGGCCGTAGAGGAGGAGGACATGTCACCGCCTCTGCCCTGTCGTCCTGCAGTTAGTGTAGCAGGGTTCCTTAGTGCCTCGTCTGGCGCCTCTTCCCTGAGCGGTGGGGACTCGGACTCCGTGACTGCTTGCCTGTGATGTGGGGACCCTGCCTGGCTGAGGGTGGGTGCCCAAAGCGTGGGAACCATCATTATGAGCCAGAGGAGCCTGGTTGAGGTTCAGTCCCTAGCTGGGGTACAGAGAGGGTCTTCCCCACAGTGTTCCTTTTAGAATATTGTACGTGTCCTCATGGAAAAACATTCATATGGTGCAGAAGAATATACAGTACCAACGGACTCTGTCCCCTCACTCCCATATCCCATGCCATCGTTAACCTACCCAGACCAGCATTTGTGAGCTTGCAAGCATGCATTTGTACATAGGCCCATATGAGTGTTTCTTAAAATCACAAATAGCACCGTCCTGTAGGTATTGTTCTAGAACTTTTTTTTTTTTTAAGATTTTTTTGGAGGGGGAGAGAGAGAGAGCATGAGCAGGGGGTGGGGGTGCAGGGACAGGGAGAAGCAGACTCCCCAGTGAGCAGGGAGCCCGATGCGGGGCTTGATCCCAGGACCCTGGGATCATGACCTGAGCCAAAGGCAGATGCTTAACTGACTGAGCCATTCAGGCACCCCATTCTAGAACTTTTGTATTGAGATCTTTTCACCTGGATTGTGGATCTGCTTTCACTCTTTTTATTTTTTATTATTTATTTATTTTAAAGATTTTATTTATTAGAGAGAAAGAGAGAACAGGCAGGGGAGGGGCAGAGGGAGAAGCAGGCCTCCCGCTGAGCAGGGAGCCCAACGCTGGACTCGATTCCAGGACCCCGAGATCATGACCTGAGCCGAAGGCAGACGCTTCACCGACTGAGCCTCTTAGGCGCCCCATGCTTTCACTCTTTTTAATGGTCATTTTATATTTGCATCATATTTATATATCATAACTTAGTAAACATTCTATCAATGGCTATTTGGGTTGGGATTTAGGGAGAGGGCTCATCACTAGTCGGCAGGCTCTCAGAGCCCCATGACCCCAAAAAGAGTGAAGGGAACAAGTAGGGATTAAGAACCCTTTGCGCACACACACATTTCTTGAACTTGTACAGTCTCAAGGAGCCCAAGGGTCAGTTTCAGCGGATCCTTCCCACATTTGGCACTAGCCAGAGACGTGTGGGTCAGTGTTAGCGAGGGTGTAGACACAGAGTCTGTGCCTGCCTGGACCACAGCTGCCTGGGCCTGGACTAGCCGTGTCTCCCCTCCCTTGTCTGCACGATGCATGATGCTCGGCCAGGCCTGGGCTCCATGCGCTGCTCAGCAGGTGCTGGCTGAGGGCTCACTTCCCTCCCAGGTCTCCAGAGGACATCTGTGTTTGACCGCCTCGGCGCCGAGACCAAGGCAGACACGACGACGGGGAATAAAGTGAGTTGGGAATGGGGAAACCGCCTGAGTTCTCTAATTTGTCTTCCTTGCGGGTGTCGGTCCCACATCCAGCCCCTCATGCTCCCTGCGCCGCCTCACCCGCCTTAACAGCCTCAGTTCCCTTCTTTGCACCTCGACCTCTCTCCTGATTTACAGCGCCTGGGGTCTGGCCAACTCCTGCCTGCTGCCCTCGGGCCGCTCCCACCTCCTTGTCCCAGACTGGCCTCGGCATCTTCCCCTAAAGGGACTCCTTTCCCAGGCCCTGTCTCAGGGATGCCCCAGTGCCCCCATTCCAGGCAGGCTCCAGTGATGGCTCCATCTGTCTTCCCTGCTCTGCCACCTCCCCCCATCTCCTGCCCCTCCCCCACAGCGGCAGTGTGTGCCCACCCACAGGACAGGCCACCTGCTCCCCATCAGACGCTGCTCACCGCGGTCAGGATGAGCGCCACCCTCCTTGCCTTGGCCTGCAGGGCCCAGGGACGGTGTGTGCTAGGAGCACACGGCCTGAGCCCTGCCCGGTGTGAATCCAGCTTTGCCACTCCCTGGCCGCATGGCCTTGGCCATGTCACTTAAGCTCCTTGTACCTCAGTTTCCTTATCTGTCTAGGACCCATCTCGTCGGGTGGTTGTGAGGATTAAGTGAGATACACCTGCACAGTGCTGGGGGTGTCTGATGCGTGGTAGGCACGCTTTGAATGTCACCTTTGATTAACTGCGCCGGAGCTCCCCGGCTGCGTTTCCTGCCTCTCCACCCCTTACTCACCAGGGCTTATCTGACCTTTTTCTCACCTCCTATAATCTTATCATGAGCATGATAATCACACTCGGGATCATGTGGTTAGAAGATGCAGCCACATAAAGAGCTTAGCAGAGAGTGAGTGCTCCATACATATGATTCTTATTCCTGCCTTGGGGGCTTGGCCCTCGCCCTTTTCTCGGCTGACTGATCGTTGAGGGCCTGGCTTACACATCAGCACCTGGGAGAAGGTGTCCTTGAACTCCCAGAGGAGGCTTCCCTGTCTCCCGCTCGCCAGCACTCCTGTCTCGTCCAGAGAATGCGCCACTGTCGTAGTTAGGGAGTTGTTTGTGTCATTTCCGCTGCCAGATCTGTCTCCCCCGCTGGACTGTGAGCCCCCTGAGGGCAGGGCCAGGGACAGTCGGGACTCAGGAGATGCCTGTTGAGTGAATGACCAAATTTGTCTTTTGCCATGTTCCCCTGCAGACCTTTGCAAATGGTCTTCTGTGTGTGGCCCACCCTCTCCCCATCTTTATTAGACCTATGTGCCGGAACTTTCAGATCTCATCTCAGATGTCCCTTGTCCAGGGAGTCTCTCCTGAACTTCGGCCAAGGTCAGTGGCTCTCACCACTGGCTAGTGTGTCACCGTGTCACCGATGGGTGTTCCAGCGAGGCCAGGCACAGTGAGGCAGCACTGCACGCATGTGTGTTGAATGACTAAATGACTCACTTGTCCCGTCTCTGACCCCTGCAGCCCACAGGAGTTTTCAGCCGCCTGGGGGCCACCCCAGAGATGGACGAGGATCTGGCTTGGGACAGCGACAATGACAGCAGCAGCTCTGTCCTGCAGTATGCCGGGGTTCTGAAGAAGCTGGGCCGGGGCCCAGCCAAGCCCAGTCCCCAGCCGGCACTGACTGTCAAAGCCAAGGCCACAAGCTCGGCCGCGACGGCTGCCACCCCGACACTGCGACGCCTGGCCCTTTCCTCACGCCCAGGGCTTGAGAGGAAGCCAGAGTCCCTGTCCAAAGTCAGCATCATCCAGAGACTGGGCAAGGCTGCCCTTGTGCCCGAGGCCCAGGACAGCCAGGTCACGAGCACCAAGAGTAAGTCCTTGGCCGAGGTCAAGGTCACCATTAAGAGGACTCTGGTGGGGCCCCGGGGGAGCAGCTCCAGCGAGAGCCTGGGTGCCCAGATGGACCATGCGGGCACAGTGAGCGTGTTCAAAAGACTGGGCCGCAGGACCTTCTAGCCTCTGGGCGGGGCGCGGGCCCCTCTCCAGGTTCCTGGCTCTGGCAGAGGCTCCCGTGAGGCCATGCCCAGTCCTCTGCTGGCTCCTGGATGACACTGCTTGTCTCCCTCAGGCATTCGAGCCGGCCCAAGCTTTCTGGGGCTCACCCCAGTGTTCTGAGTCCGACATGGTCGCTGTGGCCTGGCCTTGCTGCTCTAGGACTTTCCTTTCTCACGTCCTTTGTTCTCTCCTCTTGGACTGTGGCCTTTGGCAGGACCCACTTTTCTACCTCTCCCAGAGCCAAGTGCTCTTTTCCCTCCTCCGTTCCCCCTCCTGCCCCTCGGCAACATCTGCTGCCTCCACCCCAGCTCCCCGGCCTCCCCAGTTCCCCCCAGAGTCCCCCCACCTTACCGATGTCCCGACTTCCCCTTGCCCCTCTGCCCCTTCCCCCTTTCCCCTCTCCC